CGCACAGGAGACGGGGCATGTGCAGCGCTTGTCATTGATGCCAGTTCGTCCTTGATTATCTATCGCAGGTTGGGAGGAGGTGTGTGGACAGACGCAACGGTAGGGTTGCCTGGAATAAGGCCGTGAAGTTCTTCTCTGACAATTTTGCGGATAAGGGCCCGCAATTCATGCTCTTTGGTAAAGCGAGCGTCGCAGGAGGCGTGTGGAAGGCGCATGGAATGAAGCGCGTCCAGGCGTTGGCATGTAGTGATGACGTCCCGGACGGTAGTCGGATTCTGAATCACGAGAGCACTGAAGGTCACAGAGTTGATACCTTTCAGTAGATGTCGGATGCGATCGGCCTCCGTCATGTCATTTTGTGCTCGGCGACAAAGAGCCGGAATACCTTCAATGTAGGACGTATACGATTCGTCGTCCCCTTGAATGCGGGTTGCGAGCTTTTGTTTCGCTAATACAGAACATCCTGCAGACGTGCCAAATACCTGACGGAGATGCCCCGGAAGGCCGACCAATTGTAGAAGTCGCTCTCGTGGTTGTAATACCAGGTTTTAGCGACGCCATCGAGGTAAAAAGGAACGTAGCGCAGTTTGTGCGCCTCGTCCCAATAATTACAAACGCTGGTTTGATCATAATTGTCGAGCCATTCTTCGACGTCTTCGTTGCGAAGGCCGGAAAATACCGGAGGGTCTCGATGAGAGGTACTCACGGTGTAGTGAAGCCTAAGTGGCTGAGAAGGAGCGGTTGCAGCAGCGGGTGGGTTGGCTTCTGCCATCGCTGTTGCTTGAGGGCATAACCGTCGACCCGACCGGAGCTCCAGGGGTGACGGGTAGAGCAGGAGGACGTGGGAACCAAAGCACGCTCCACCACTTATGAGACCACGTCCGGTACGGCAGCAACCAGGTTATCCTTTTTTAATCCAGACGCACGAGCCAGAGAGCCAGCCCGCGTGACATACGATGATGATCGCTACAATGGTTTGGTCATACAGATGAAGATGAAGTACATAGTCAGCGCTCACAATATATATATATATATATATATATATATATATATATACTATCCTTTTAATCCCTCCTCATCCCATTCCTTGTGAGCCACTGTTGAGGTGTCGCACGCTGATGAAGACAGCTACGGGGCTCACTTTCCTCTTCTTTTCCCTATTATAACCACTTCTCTCTAGTGAGCGTACGCTGAAAGGGCTCATTTGATTCAGGCGGATCTAAACAATAACAAATTGGTCTACTTATTACACTACTGTCAATCCGAAACCAAAATACAGTAGCCACAAACGTCTTAGTGGTGAACTTCCCGAGGGTCTGACTGCATGATCAGTAACTGGGTACATCAACGAAGCGAAAAACAACGCAAAAAACGCGGCAGCATTTTGTCTCTTTCACTGTCCTGTCTTTCGCACTGTTTTTCGCTTAATTGATGATGTTTCAACTACCCCAAATAAGCACTTGGGCAGATCAAAACGAGCGAACAAGTGCTTGCATGGTACTGTAGGAAGCTGTTCAGTACTCCTAGGAATTAGCCGTTAATAAATTACATGCAGTGAAAACAAGCGAATTGCCTCCGTCATAGTTCAATTGCTAACGCACAGGATCTTTACTTCTAAGTTTGCGGGTACAGACCCAGGTAACGGAATAGGTGAATTTGCATCCACCTTAATTTCTTTAAATTTGCATCAAAACCATTCAAGCACAAGTATAGAATCATTATATCCTAAGTGTTGTTTAAATATGTCTGTGTTGTTTTTATCAGTTCAATCAAACAACAAGACATTGCATTTATTGTGCCAAATAACGAGCTTTGAAAGTGTGACGTCCGCGTTGCACGAACTATCGAAGAGGTGTTTTGAAGCCCGTTCGCTTGACATCCATGTCAACATGGTTGGGGACCACCCATGGACACGTGCAAAATCACGAAGTTCTGTGACCCAACATCTACAAAACACGTGCCATCGCAGAGGACTCGCGATCTCCTTTCATTTGATGCCCATGTAGGCATAGTTGGCAGTTATTTATGGGGGTTGAGAAAGTTGCACATAGTCACACGACTCGCTTTTCGTCGATGTCTGATGCTCGAGATGCACGTACTATCGTAGAGGTGCTTTGAAGTCTGTTGCTTTAATACGCATATTGATATGGTTGGGGACCATATCGACATGCATATCAAAGCAACGGGCTGTTGCAAGATGCATGAAGTCACGTGACTTACTCCTGTGACCTGATGTCCGTGAAACATGCGCCTTCGCAAAGCAGTCGCAATGTCCTTTTGATGATACCCATGTCGGCCTAGCTGGGAATAACTCACGGAAGTGAAGAAAGTCACATTTAGCATTTAATAGCAGCATTTAAATAGTGCTCTATATCACCCACCTTCTATAAACTGATCTAAGGCATAATCTACCATTTTTTCCATCCTAACCTTACCTGTCTTTAGTACTCCACACTTTATCACACGTCGAGCCATTCCGACTGCAAATAACAGTGATGTACTAGCATCGCAGCTCTCTGGGAGGATGTTGAACCACGAGTTTCTGGAGTGTGGCTTCACCGCATGCTCTTTGCGAGACATCGCTTTAACTCAAAAAAGAACAAACGAACAAGTTTAGTTTCTGCGCATGGTATTCACGGACAAACCTCTAAATTCGCTGTTACCTCAAACTTTTTGAAACTAAGCTGACATGTTGAATTATAGTGTTTTTAAAACGCCTCCCATTCAGTTGAACGGGTGTATTACAGTGAGGCTTGAAAAAAAGCCGAAGGGGAAATGTCCACAATTTAGGGGTAAGAGATATTTGCGGAGAGAGAAAATAATAACAAAAAACACAATCATCCTTTCCTTTCTGGTGGGACTGATACGCTCCAATCGGGAGTTGCGCAAACCATGGTTTGCAAAAAGAGGGAAGTGAAATGGACGCTTTCTTTTTTAGACCATGTTTGTGCTTCAAGCAGGGGCTGGAACTCTCTCTAGAGAGCCGGGCTGAACGTTGCCGCATGCGTAATCAGGTATGTGATTCACATAATTTGATATAGTTCTGTCTATATTGTCACTAAAAAACGCAGAAACTTGTAACAAAAATTCTATAATGAACTGCGATAGCCTGTTGCTTTCAGAACATTTCTTAAACCCTTGCGTTTGAAGCGTGAAAACTTGGGCAAGTTGGTAGGACATGAATGAATATCAGAACAGCGCTGCAGACAACGATTGACGAAGATAATACACACAGAGCTTCAATTAGTTTCAAAATTATTGACACTAGAGACATATATTTCAAATTCAGACAGCTTTCTTTTCAGCCAGTTTAGCCTGAGAGAACCTTTTACACGCACACCGCTGCATGTGTACATTTCTTTTTGTAAATGCCACAGTTAAGTTTGTTTTTCAGATATCACACTGTGTAAATGTGCCGGTTTACCATTCAATTTGTTCTTATTCATGCAAATCTACTAAATTTGGTGCTTCACTCTTATTGCTCTAAAGAGGTAACTTTTTTTATGATCACCATTTACAGGAGGCCCAAATGCAGTCTTCGGCTCTGGAACCTCCTCCGGCACATATTTTGTCATAACTACGTTATTTATAACGATTCCTAAAATTATACAGATGGAACACACAAGCCATTTTTTATCTTCTGTAGCACGGTTTGCAGCATAGCTACTGCGTGCCTGCCCAATTAGACGGGAAGACGCAGAGACAAAGGCATGACGGTATATACGAAGGGTTTTGCACAAAAATTGAAGAGAATCTGGCGCTGCGGTCCTGCGATGCAGAAAAGATCGCTGCACTGCAGGTGCTGCAATGCAGAAAACAAAAAAGTCCTAGAAAAGATGGATGGAGCAATTATTGAACAGAAATGTCGCTCGCTAGAGGGGCATCCTCTGATCAACAATTACTCACCACTTCATGGAAACGAGAGGTTATACCCAGACTCGTCAGATCTTCATTCTTTGCTGAATACATTGGTGTGTTTTCGTCTGTTACATTGTATTTACCTTTTAGTGGCTAACATTTCGGAACCGTTTTATATTCATGAATGCAAGACAAAAAAAACGAATGCGCGTATACATGCTCAAACAACGTGAATTGTTGCGTTTGTAACGCAATATTTTGTCGAAAACGAATAATGCGCCAAGCCACAAAGCCCGTTAAGCCTCAGGACAATGTTTAAGGAAATTCTTTTGATAACTGTAATTACCAAACACAAAGAATCAGAATCCTTGCATCTCTTCTATATGAAAGTGTAAAAATTTCATTAAGAACGAGCAGAAGAGAAGATGGAAGCTGAAAGATTAGAAATTCGTGAACATGGGTTGTGGCTGGAGCTGACGTTTCGACAAGCGGGCTTGTATTCTTCAAGGCTGCAAGTGATGACATTTTGCAGCGTTGAAGAAAAGTCCACTTGTCTAAAAGTTGGTTTCAGCCACGTTAACAAACTTTTCAGTATTCAATCTAGTAGTTTATATAGTGAAATCTAGTAGTTTATATAGCGCATCGTAACATTTGACTCGTTGAATACTCTCTGCCCTTTGTCCGCACTATTCTTAATACGATGGCAGCAGCAGCAGACGCCGCACTCAACAAACTTTTAAAAGGTTTGAGGAGAAAGCTTGGAATTGTTTTCTTCAGTGACAAGTGGGCATTATTACAGCCACAAGTTTATTGGCAAACGAAGAATAGCTGGTCTTTGCCAATTGATATCCCCATACTTACACTCCAGATACTTTCCATTCACCAGAACTTGTCACGTCAGGCCGAAAAAGCCTGCTATTTCTCGGGCTTCGCATTGTCGCGCAACGTTTCGGTTTTCTACCAGAGCGGACTGGAGGCTATCGAGAAGAGTGAAGTACCTACCCAGAGTGTTTTGATCTTTTTGTTTGTTTAGTACTACGAGCTGCTTTAGGCGTTTCGCGAGCAGCGTACTCGAGGTGCGCTCCCACCACGACCGGGGGGCACTTGGCTGCTGTGTGGCGAGAAAGTCAGGAGGCACGGTGCACCAGTTTAAACTCTGAACTTTAATCACTGGTTAGTGTACACATGGTTAGTGAGTCCATTATGTGGCCAAGCACCTATACACAAAGCTGACAGAGACACTAGGTGCGGAGCGAGCGAGGTTCCCGGCCACGTGGCTCGCGGCAGACCGCCGTCGTCCGCCCGGGCAGAGAAGTAGACCACTACATACTGCATCTCGGTGCCTTGCCTAATGCCTTGGAGAGCTCCAAGCCAGCTAGCTGCGAACCTATGTAGAGAGAGCTCTATAGAGAGAAGAAATACGAGGGGTGCAAAGAGTGGAAGGGTGGTTAAGGTGGCGGGGTTCGTCTTGCACGAAAGAGATAGAGACACTAGCACACACACCGCTAACGTTTTACTCGTTGTATCGACCTTTTTTTCCTGTTCGTGTGTCGCCAGGATGAACATGTGGTTATGAGACGTGAGAAGGCGGAACCTGTGCAGGGGAGGGCCAGGGGAGGTGCAGCGGTCGCGAGCCTTCTAGCTGGGCGTCGTCCCCTGGCGATGCAGCGGTTCCCTTACACAACTTCCGTGGCCCGCCCGGGCAGCGCACGCACACCGGCACAAAGACGCGAGAGCGCTCCCCACGCGCGCGATTCGTTGTTTGGAGCCGTCCCCGGGACGCCGACCGAGGCGCGAGACTCCCGAGGCACCCGCACAGACGCGGATCCCTCCTTCGGCGCATGCGCCTGCGGAACAGCTGACAGGCCCGTGCCTCACACACGGCTCACTTGCTTGTTTTTCTCACCATATTTCTCTCAGAGAGAACCGTCTCTTCCTGCCCTACAAGTGTGGCAGCTTGGGCTCGGTATGACATGACTATAGTTATAGCGAGAGAACGGAACGACAACAAGGAGAAAAGAAGGGCACGAGCGCTCATGTCCTTCGTGTCTCTTTGTCGTCGTTCTGTTCTCGCGCTATAACTATCGTCATGCCCTATAAGGTCATGACAATTATGGGGTAGTGAATAGCAGTGCCTGAGAATTCTCTGAATAACAAGCCTTGCATTACGCTCGGTGTAATAGACAAAATATTGAGGTGAATGTCCGAAAGTTACTTTTATCCGCTCGACAAAACCAACCCCTATTTTCTAGAGACAGTGGTTCAATTGCGGCCCTGCTGACGCTCGGTACCATGAGCCAACTCGAGCGTTGCAGGCCTTTATATATACCGGTTACGATCTATTTAGCCAAAATAATGATGTAAGCTAGAGCTGAGAAGCGCCCAAGGGCCTGAAAACAGACTGCTTCTTTTGTAGCTGACGCGTGCTCTTAATTTTAATTTACACATCAGCAATAGCAAACAAATTTGTACTGCTCCAAGTCGAAGCGTGCAAACCGCACTTGTGCTTAGCTTCTCTACATTTTTTGTTTCTTTAGTGATTTAACTCACTGAGGAGACACTGCGCTAATTTAGTGTTACACTCTGCTGGTCCTCGATTGCGCAAGTCTGTTGAATCTACTTAGTGCCCTCTCGTTTGAAAGGGCGACGGCGAAACAGGCCTATCTGTCTGTGATAAGATGGGCTGGGCGAGCCTTAAACCGAGGTCGTGGCCAAGGCACGTTCAACCATCTCCGTCAAAGTGTCGTCTTGACCAAGATAGGTCCACATGTTCTAATCAGGGCTGCGCGCCCAGACATACCCGCATGTCTTAATCAAGGACGCGCCCTCGGAGCTCTTCGCCTGCAGTAGAAACTCTGCCCGTGAGGCGAGTTGTCTTACCATTGTTCTCCGAGCTTCCGCCGTGTTCCACTTAAGAAATAAACGCGTTCAGCAAGCACTTCAAGGTAGACCAGCAAAGCGGCATGGCTTTCCCTTCTTCGCACTACCTTTTTATTTCAGCACGATTAGAGTTTGGAAGGGAGAACAGGTGCGAGGCGAGGGCCTGGTCAGTGACTCTGCAGCGTCCGGCTGGCCGGGCGCGGCTGCGCTTGCATGACCGTGCGTGCGCCGCCCCGGCGCAAGCAGTTAACGTCCCACTGCATGGGTCCCTTTCTCACAGCTTTGCACATCTAGGCTTCAGAGAGAAAAATAATACATCTACAGGCACTTACACACGCAAGGAAAAAGAAAGAATGCCGGCGCCGAAACGGACCGTCTTAGAAAGAAGCAGCGCTTGGTCCAGCAGAGAAATTTGCTCATCTTCCTGCCTTCACGAGAGGGCCTTGATCGAAATAGATTAAGTACAAGTTTACTGTTGAAGTTTGCTGCACTGTCAGCAGTCAAGCGGAAAACAAGTCTATTCCGAGCACTCATACGGTGCAGTCGAATAACTTTCGGCTTTGTAAATTTTGTTGCAGCCTTGGGGAAGGCCCGGCAGATAGCAATAGTGTTACTTTGGATCATAATGTGTCGAGAAACGTTTACGCAGTAAGAGCCATCACTATTCACTGTTTCTAGCTTTGTTACTAGCTTTGTTCACAGGTTCCATGTGTCCAATTTAGCAACAATTTCGTCGTTCGCAAGACGTACCAAAGGTGACCTATATGCCCTTACCACTGTTTCACTCATCGTATTGGCAGCTCATTTATCGGTCCCTGTACCTTATATGCTCTATTTTGATATTGGGAGATGTGCTTCTCGAAAGCAATATTTCAGAGCCACACTAAGACCAAAAACGTTGAATTAACTAGAAAAGGCGCAACTTTTATGCGATTTTTTAGGTGTTTTCATTTAAAAGACCTACCTTATCTGCTCTGAGCTTCCGACGGAGAACCGCCGCTTGCAAAACTGCTTCAGATCCTTCTCAGGCTACGCTCCTTTTTTTCTCAAACGGTTCGTTTCAACACGCTGGTACGCAAGGCGTACGCAGGCGTCCGGTTATTGCTGTACAGAGCCAGAAAACTATGTCGCAAGCAGGCAGCAACTCTTAGCAGACACATATTGTACAAAGACGCGCTGCAGACCATCTATCAAGCAGACCTTCGACTCACGCGTCACCCTTGACGCTTCGCGGTATCCGAAGCAGCGCAAAAGTAGCTTCACCTCAATTGTGTGTCAAGCTGTCGCTCTGCGTCTACGACGCGTCTTTAGCCATTCATAAGCGTCTCTTTGAATATATGCACAAAAGAACAGGCGGCGTACGCTCGGTGGCGAGAGGAGGGGAGACGTCGAGAAGCCCAATGTCTCGCGGGTGCCTCGGAAGTGCGCCACGGGACTGCCGATGTGTTCTCACCAAACTATATACTGCCAGCTATGACGCTACAAGAAACTCGACACAGCGATTCGCGAAAGAAAGTTTAAACACAATGTACATCGAAAAAAAAAACTATCTTTTTTTTCTCGCTTATGTTGCAACAGTTTGCCCAAGCGTAAGTATTTTCTCCCTTCTCCTTGCTTAGCTGAAGCCCATGTTCCTCGAAAAACACGTGCAAACATTCGCAAGTTCAATTTTTACTACTAAAGTACAAAGCTGAATTGTGCTACAACCAAATCTGCAACCTCATTTTAATGCCCACAATATTAAGAACCGAACCATTTGCGTCGAAGTCAGAAAGACAGATATATTAAGTCCCGTTCATTTTTCCCTTCTCCTCCTCGGCACATCCATGTCACAGAAAAGCGCAGCTAAACGAGGCAGACTAGGTCGTGTCATAATGCACAGAAAAAAAAATGCACGCTGACATGTCGCTCTAAGCATAGCCACTGTTTGCTAGACAGTTATTCCCTCCAATACGCGAGAGAGCCACATACGTCACAGCAAAACGGGTACACACCGCATTTCGGAGGCGAATACTGCACAACACACAATGGCAGGCAGGCGTACCCCAGAGAGCACAGCAATACAGGAGGTTGTCACATATGTACACAGAAAGCAAGAAATTGACAAAGGCCGAGAAGGGGAAAAGGAGGGGTGCGCGGGCTCAGCTGCGGGTGACTCCCTCGGGAGGTTCCCGCAGTTCGTCCGCCGCTCGGCCAGCCGCGTGTTCTTCCCCAATTGAGCAACTGTCTGGCGGGCTGTGGTCGGGCCCGTTTCCGGGTCCGGGAACCCCGTCCCGGGCCTACATTTCTTTCCGGCTTCTCGCGGACCGAGGCAAAACCGTATTCACGCCATGCCAGTGCTCATTGGACGCCAGGTGAAGCGGAAATACTGAGGTGTGTTGGCCTCAAGGGCTTCCACCTTCGGACCAATGAAAACCGGCTAGACGAGCAAGAAAGCATGCGTGTCTCGGTGTCAGCCAGAACTTTCGCTGGACGAACTGGCGGTACAGTGAAAGCTGAGACGAAAGGCCGTCAGTAGACTGTGATAACCACGCAGCAACCACGCTTTCAGTTCGTCGTCAGTAGAGGAGTTCTTCGGTTGTCATAGTTAACTTCTCGCAAGGAGCGCGAGCTTTTCGTTCAAAAGTGATAAGCGTACACGGTTGCAGGATTACTGCTGTGCTGCTTGAGAAAAAAACACACTCTCAAGCAGCCAGAAACTTCGATGAAACACGCACCCTGCTCATGCATAGTTTTGCCTTCGGTGCACAAAAGCCAGGTATGAAGCGTAGTCACGTACCCGACCGCATGCGGATTTCCCGCACGCCACGGACCGCACGGCTTCGACGAGTTCGATTGGCCTCATGGGCACTGAATAAAAAGTCGTTACATGTTCAAAAGATGCACTGAGCTCCCGACGATGCCCTTCATTATCTGCGTAAACAAGAACAAAAAAGCACACATATTCAAAAAAAAGCTAGCTCACTGTACGAATGCTTCAACCTGTAGAGTGTTCTGGGTGCTAAACACCGCCACTCTTATAGGAGGACCTATACAAAGTTTTTTTATAAAATCAAGAAATTCCGTATAGAGAGTAGATAGAAAAGGACGCCTCGTTACGTGTCTTTTATTCATCGCGGATTACTCGTGCTGTAATGCACACGTGTGTTTTATTTTCTACCATGTAGTACTATATATTCTCGCTTTTCGTAATTCGACATCGAGGGTTACGCAGTGAAGAGAAGACACGAACTCACAAGGTCCAGCTACAATCGGCTGTGTTCAACAGGGTTCCTCAAGGCCTTCTAACGCCAAATAACAGCAACATTTCGGCAAACGTAGAGGCCCCGCGGAGAGAAGCGAACCCGTGGTCGGCCGTGCGGCCCGCGGTCCCAGCCGTCCGGCGGTGTAAGGGAAGGTGGTTCCGATGGGAAGGGGGCGCGCTGGGAGGCTGCGCCTCTGGGGGCCAATGGCCGATTCAGCCTCGCTGCCGAGGGGAAGACGACTGGGGGAACCGGCTGGAGTCGCGTCTCTGGCGGCGCTCGTCCGTTGTACTTTCGTTTTGTATCCTTGGCGGCGTGTCTCCGAGCGCGCCCCCGGCAGGCCGCCGCTGCTGGAAGAGCGCGAGTTTTGCTGGGCGCGAGCCTCTGGGCAAAAAATAGAGTATCCTTTCTAGCGGGCGGCCCGGGGAAGGCGACCCTGTGCCCTCCCCCGTCCCGTGCGGCCTTGCTCTGCGTTGTCGTCGGTGTTCTACGAAGGCGGCGCAGCTCTGCGCCCTGCTGCTTGCATAGCTGGAGGCCCGCACTCACTGCAGTACGCACTTGCCTTCGATGCTCGATTTCAGCTCGTTCACCTGCGTCTCGATGGTGTTCCGCAGTCCTGCGACAAACAACGTCAACCTTTAGGATTCGCTTGCGGGCCACGAGCGAAGTGCGAGAACGTCTTTGCAAAATAGCGCGAAAAAACAAGGAGACAGAAAGAAACACACAAGAAGGTTCTACAGTCTCCTCTGCGCTCATGTGAGAGTGAAAGACAGCGTACTCCACGAAAAAGTAAAAAAGTACGCAAAGCTTGGGCGCGCGATAATGTCAGATTGTTCCGTGGCGTTGCTATTTTGTGACCGCCAATAACACGGTGTTCGACTGAAATATTTTAGCAACGCCCACTATCCATCTTGTATCACGGGATGAAATACAAGTCGTGAGAACACCTTATCGCAATAATATAGAACCATCAGCATAAAAGCTGCAAAGAGCACCGTTCCGGACAGAATAGAAGGTTGTCAACTGCCGATTGGTCTGGCACTGAACACTCCTAGCTGGCGGTGAAAGTTAATTTATTTGTGTACAAATCCATGATAGGTGGGTACATACGTCACAGCCAATGCGACATTTTTTTTAAATCACAAGTCCCCGACCTTTTATATTCTGTTTCGAATTGTAGACACTCACACGCTACTGCGTGCATTTTCACGTTATGGCTAATTTAATATTATCTTTGCGTACTTGTCATTTTTTACCCTCTTTTTGGTAGGTTTTGATGACCACTTGATCGACAGGAATTAAAGTTTGCGTGGCCTGAAAATTTTGTCCAGCAAGCGGACGAACGGGAATCTGAAATAAAAACAATATAATTACGTTACATAAGTGTCTGTTCCGATTTAAAATGGGGCACCCAAGAACACGCGTCAGTTAAGTAGCGAAGAATGCTTTTGATGCGAAGGATTCTTGTCGACTGTAGCTGACTTCCTTTCTGCCATCTGCCTGGCCGTTATCCCGAAGCAAAGAGCGATATTCAATTACCTAGATAGCTAGTACACGAATACAATCACTTATCGCTTGACACAACTGCTTTCTGTTTCTATCTTAAGACTTTCCGCTAAACACCTTGAGTTATCTAAAGGCAATGCCCGAAGCACTGCATTTTTTTAGAGATGGGCGGTAGGGTAGGCATGCTGTGATTTACTTATGGTACACCAAAACAACCGGCACATGCCTAAATATTTTATTCCCCACTTTTTCTTTATTTACTTCACTTGGGCTTAAAATCACACAACTGTGACACTAGATGCGCGGGGAGGTACACAATCGATACAGCAAACAAGAGATTGGGTTGACAATGAAGGACCGTGATTATCACTATGCCTCGACTCATCCGTTACTCCGCTAAGTAGAATGCGCCAGTCCGTGTTCACTGAGAACGCTATCACCAAAGGTATTGCCACGCCACCTCTCCACTAAATTCGTTATTGGTTTTGAAACGCTTTTTTTATTTTGTTGATTTTTTTCTGAGGTGGCTCAGCTATGGAAGAAACTTGATGAAGCGATGGTCACGCGTCTGTACTGCCTTATCAATCGCGCCCTCGGTTCATCAGAGGCACGCCGACTACGAAGTGCCGATCTTACTCACTTGTGAGATCATCCTGTTCTGCGGCCTCGTTTTCCGCGGCGATCTCCTCGGGTGTCTTTTTTCGCCGATTGAGACTGCCAGCGGCAAAATCATCCACCTCGGCAGGCTTCTCCTCTTCCTTCTTCTTGATGCCGTACTGCACGAATGACCAGCAAAGATTCATAAGGAGCGTTTTTCAAACAAAGTCATCGTGAAGGGAGGAAGAAAGATAAAGGACTGGCAGGTATCTTAATCAGTCTTGAAGGACAGCTATGCTACCCTCCACTGGGGAGAGGGGACATTCTATATTGCACCTGCCTGAACAAATGCCTGGATCCTAAATATAGTTTTTCGAATTCTTTAAAACATCACGATTAGTTGGAATGCGGTGATAGTCACCGGCCACAGTGTACATGAATATTTCTTAAGTCGAAAGTCTTAAGGACATCATCAGAAGTTGAACGTGGAGTGCGGTACACAAACACATGTCACCAGGTCACTTAAAAAACAAGATTAAATTTTAGCTTCAGTTGGTACCAAAGGTATTCTGCTTGGCAGTCCACTATGGTACTAGAGCTACGGCTGTGTTTCAAACTGCTTCTAAAAAAAGAAGACCCTGTACGGTTGTTGGGTTGGGCAAGGAGTCACGTGAATAGATGTACTATTGTGCGGCAGAAAAGTAGAATGGCACAAAGCATCACACCGTAGGAAGTGCGTTACGAGTGGGTGGTTGAAAAGCGCCAACCTCTTCGCTATAATAATAATAACAATAATAATAATAATAATAATAATAATAATAATAATAATAATAATAATATTAATAATAATAATAATAATAATAATAATAATAATAATAATAATAACTATGCGCAGCTGCGTTTTCAACCTGACCACTCAGGGGGACCATGCTGGAGATTCATTCCATACATTGTAACTTTTCCAAGCGAATGATGAACTTATAGAGCACTCTCCAAATAATAAATAGTTTGGCATGCTTTGAAAAACCTTTAAACAACTGCAGTTTCCTCCACGGGTGGCGCCTATGATGCCGCCAGCAGATTACCGTTCTTGTCTGCATACAGAATGGAGCCCCTCTATCGCGCATGTATGTGCGCAGTGGTTATCGATGTCTGTTCATCCAAGGCATCAGTTATGCGCTGCAGTTGTTATGCTTTCAGTTCGTCATGCCGGGACGCTCTCTTTTCTCTACAATTCCGTCAGTGGAAAACAACGTTCAAGTGAACTGCGAAATCGGCGCCATGATAACCTTGTGAGCGCTGCGTCACGCTTATACAACGACGTGGGTTATGCGCCACACTTTTGACGATATACTGCTTGTAAAGGCCACAGGTGTCCGCATGTTTGAAAATTAGAGGCCCCGCCTCGGCGGTCTAGTGGCTAAGGTACTCGCCTGCTGACCCGCAGGTAGCGGGTTCGAACCCCGGCTGCAGCGGCAGTATTTCTGATGGAGGCAGAAGTGTTGTAGGCCCGTGTGCTCAGATTTCGGTGCTCGGTAAAGAACCCCAGGCAGTCGAAATTTTCGGAGCCCTCCACTACGGCGTCTCTCACAATCATATGGTGGTTTTGGGACGTCAGACCCCACATATTAATCAATCAATCAATGAAAATTAGAGTACAAGTTCAGATGAAATATAAATATTCTGCTTTACCAACTGCGGATGGCTAGAGACACTGGAATAAATTGCCTCTTTTTTTTCTGGGTATCTCACGTTACGCAACCACTGCTGTAAATTTCCCTGGACTTGGTTTCTTTGGAGACACGGATATAAAGAAAAAACGAGAAAAGCAAAACACTCCAGCCTGCCAGCTATTGCTACATTCAAGGGAATGTTTCTTAAAATAGAGCATGCATATATTTTGTAAGCTTGGTAATAGGCCCCAATAAAGGCGATTGCTCAGTTTTCATGATCACTCAGTAAGCACTGTGAAAAAGTACCAAAAGGAGAACTTGAATATAAAAGGTTCATGAGACTTTTTTTGCCAAGCGAGACACTATTCTTCCCGGTACGTACGAAACTGCAAGGTTTGATTGATTTATTGATTGATATGTGGGGTTTGACGTCCCGAAACCACCATATGATTACGAGAGACGCCGTAGTCGAGGGCTCTAGAAATTTCGATCACATTAGGTTCTTTACCTTGCACCCGAATCTGAGCACATGGGCCTACGACAGTTCCGCCTCCATCGTAAATGCAGCCGCCGCAGCCGGGATACGATCCTGCGACCTGCGGGTTAGCAGCAGAGTACCTTAGCCACTAGACCACCGCAGCAGGGCAAACAAGAGCGTGCAATAGTGCAATAGTAAATACAAAACAGACAAACTTTATCCTCCACTGAGAACCACCGAAAGACTTCTATAGATAACGTGGTGAACAAAAGGGTGGTGATACGAAAGCACGTTCCCAGGTTTACAGGACACCCGAACAGCTTTTGAATATACAAACAGCGAGTGCGTTATTATCTCCTGGCGTTTCCCGTCCTTTTGGCACAATTCCTTATGCCGAAAGGTTGTTCACGTGACGTCACGAGAAAAATGAGCTTTTGATGGACCCATGTGCGAGAGATATTAGCGACCAATTGCCTCCTACAACGCTCTGACTCGCAGTCGCACTTCCATTTAGCTTTGTCTCACATGGCTATCATGCAAGATCAACTGATTTCTCCTAATTTTGTGTGTTTTCAACTGCGCAGAGACAGACGACAGTGTGTAGCCGAAAAGTGCGAAATCCTGATAGGATGAATGCCTAGTATGGACATTGTTCAAGTGTTTTATGAAAAAAAATAGAAAATTGGCCTAGTATCCGCATGTTTCTCGTCAAATGTCGTTGAAAGACGAGAGTCTTGCATATGGAGAGAGTGAACAAAATATTTATTTGATGTTTTGCGCGAGAAAATTGGTGAACTGTATTGCAGAAACGCTGTGTTAGAGAGTCTCAATCCGTGCAGCGAAGGCGAGCGAGCGCATCGAGGCACGTAAGACACGAGCGCAATCCAGCAGTTATCTTCAAAAACGAAGGAAGGCGTACATGACTTTCTCGAAGGCGATAAGGTGTAGAACGCCTAAGCGATGGGCAGATGCCACCTTAGCAAAGCGTTGGAAGCACTTGCCTTTTTGAGAATCGTGTTGGATTGTCAGCGCAGCGTGATAAGCGCTATGGTCCTTCAAATCATGCATGTATGCCTTCCCTAGTGTAAAGACACACATAATGAAATATTGGCGTGTTATTACGATGCCCCAGATATGCGCAGTAATTGCTTTTTAATTGAATTGCACAAGTATGAACGCTGAAGCTTGAGCAATATTGGTGGACGCTGCGGATGGGGTTGGCCGTTTGCGGTATTCTTACGGCGGAGAGACAGACAGAAAGAGAGGCATACAGACAAACATTTTGCGTCAAAGTACCCCCAAAAAAGACTATCATCTGTATTGAGCGGCGAGGACGTAATACTGGCAGTAATAAAAATGGGGAAGAAAGCGCTACCTCGTCTTTCAACTCGAAGTGGTTTAGAGAGCCCTTTAAAAAGCCTGTTGATGGGAACCAGCCCACTTGGTTACCGCATACTGAGTTCCCCTCGGTGCCCTATAATATGACCAGGCCGGCGTTTAGGCGAATGCAACTTCCGAGAACGCTACTCATGTATACTGGTGGCCAATATCCACGCGTGCACGCGGACAAAAAAATAAGGCACAAGAAATGAAGCAAGGCAGAGTCCCCCTCTTTTTTCTCGGTGATATCCACTCTGTGCCGATGGGACTCAAACGAAAGTGAGGTTTAACCTCGGGAAAAAACAAGGAAAAAACAGTCACATCGTGTTTATTGAGCACATTTTCCTCAATCTTGACTGCAATATCCAGAAGAGTAAAGCACTGATGCTGGCTCATGAAAAAAAAGCGATCGCTGTCTAGAGAGATTTATGTTAAGCAGTTGCAGATTTTTCGAGCTCAACGTGACATTCCCTGACACGTCTTCTCATGAAGGGCACGGCTGGGCTTCTTTCGTGCAGAAGAAATAGCGGCGTCGCACTCGAGAGAACTTACTTTTCTTTGGATACTACAGGCATAACTCTGCTAGGAACATTAAATATACTCCAAGCACAAAATCGTCGTTTTTTTTACAAAAAACGCGCGTTTTTTAGTGCTCGCCGTAAAGCCTGACGCAACATATTAAAAATATATATAAAAGATAGCCATTTGTCTTATGCGCGGAGTCATTCTTTCCTGCACAACGTACACAGCCGAGTGCTGCATCCGCCTTGGTTTCGAGAAAATCCTCGTTTGTCTCAATATGCAGTGCGAACCATGGAACTGTCTGCATGTAAACCCTTCGCAAATCTGTTGCTCGTATAAACTTCTCGCAGCAAAGGAGGCACGAACACGGCGACAGCGGCGCTCCCTGAAAGCACTGCCGAGTGCGACGCCTGATTGTGAAATATCACCGTTTTCCCAATAACGCGTTTATTTGCAGCAAACGAAAAATAGGTAAGAAAGAAAGAAAACAATAAAAATAAAGGAGTCACATGTTATTTTACAGTCATGTGTAAAAAAAAATCGAAGCCGGTATTTACAGTATATCTGCAAGCTCAAATTCCCGTTAATTCTGCTGATGTTGTTGGCGAAATCAGCAGGTCATTCACAAGGTAAATTAATGAACAAAAACAATGGTAACCCCGGTCTCGTCAAAAAAAAAAGGCAGATGCCACGTGTCAGGTATTCGACGTTATGCGAAGCATGCGAAGGGAAGGTGACCGTTTTGCATTTTGTTATTGAGCAACACGTCGTGAAATGACGCTAAATATGTGAACAAATGTTGCACGCACAGACACATGTTGAAGAGTTGCAGATGTTTATATGACCAGTTATTTGCACTTGCGCAATTATGTCAACTGGAACATGCGTATTAGCAACACCCGAAGCATGATTTGAAGCGCTGATGCTCGCGAGGATGCTGGCCCTACACACTGCTACATAAATCAACTCCAGTACACGACAACTAACCAAAACTGACGTTAATGCGACGTGACGGCTGTTTCAAAGGAGTACCTATGTAATGTTTATGGAATCGGGTTGGCGGCACTGCAACCACTATTGACGTTTCACGAAGATTAGCGTCTATTTGAAAAGTAGTTTTGAGACC